TGTGGTGATCTTTGTAGGTATCTTCAGGACAATATGCATATATCCAGTAAGTCAGGCAACATCCACGGTCATAGTAATAACAGGACACAATTATTTGAAGAGCATTCCCTGGCCCTTCTCATCTACCCCTCACCCTAAATACAGTCTCAAATTGTCCAATATAATATAATTGGATGAAACATATTAGCAGAGTCTTGGCAAAAATTATGTCCAATGACCAAACTGGCTGTTCCCCAGAAGCTACTATAGAAGACTGATAATATTCTATCAGTCTCTGAATCTGTAAGATGATCTTTTTGGCCCTCATACATTACAGAGGACTGAATATATGTATACCTCCAAAATCCCTATGTCAATTGCAATGTAATGACATTTGGAAGTGGGAGCCAAAGTAAAGTAGGTCATGAGGATGGAGCCCTCATGATATGGATCCTGTACTTACAGGAAAAGGCCACAGCTAACCCACTTTCCACCATGACCATGTGAGGATACAAGGAAAAGGAAATATACCAAATAATGATGCAGGACATGACATCTGTGTAAGAACAAAACTGTTAAAAAACTGTTAAACAACACGGGATAGGGAGAAAAGGGCAAGGAATTACAGAGGAGAGTGGTTACACTGACTTAGGCATAATGCATGTACAGGTATAATACCAAGGCAAAAATCACACTGAATAACGAATAGACACCTAAACAACGAAGAATAAGAATGAAAAACAGGTCACCCTAAGGGAAGGGCGTTAATGGGAGGAGGAGGGCAAAAGAAGGAAGAAGGTAAGTATGGTTGATATTCCTTCTATAGAAGAATAATTATGGGACTTTTAAACCTGTTGAAAATCACCATAAAAGAGGGACTAAGGTAGGAAGGAGAAAAATGGAGGGAATGAGCCAATTTGGGTTATAATATATATATACATACATATGTATATATATATATATATATGGGAATGTCATAATGAAATCCTCTGTATAGCTATCTTAAACAAACGAAATTTTGTTTTTCAAAAATGGAGGATAAGAAAGTAAAACAGGCCCTGTCTGGGGGTTGGTACCAGTGGAAGGGGGAAGGATGTAAGGAAAGGGTGTAGGAGGTGAATATGGTAGAAACATTCTGTACTCATATATTAAAATGGAAAAATGACACCTGTTGAAACTATTCTAAGAATGGAGGAGGACAGATAAAGGGGAATGATGGAGGGGGTGGATTTAACTAAGATATATTGTAAGCACTTTTGTAAATGTCACAACTTACCCCCAGTACAACAATACAATGATAAAAACAAAAATTTTTAAAAAGGAGAAACTGTCAATCTGTAGCCAGGACAAGGACCCTCACCAGGACCTCACACATAGGCACCCTGATCTCTGACTTCCAGCCTCCAGAACTGTAAGAAATAATTTTCTATAGTTCATAAGTCATGCAATATATGCTACTTTGTTAGAGCAGCTTAAACTAAGACAAACAGAAAGAGTATTCACCTTGACTGAGTAACACAGTGGTTACAAACAGCAATAAGTTGCCTGCCTCAAAGCCCAGTCCCTTGTTTCTTTTAAGTCTTTATCTCAATGTCAACTTCTCAGTAAGGCAGACAGTGACTGATTAAAATTGCAATACCCTTTTTCTTCCATACTCCCAATTGTCTTAATCTGCCAATTTTCTTTATTCAGAGACCTTAGTACCTTGTAATACATTTCATGGTTTACTGAGCTACACTGTGTGAGTTAGTTGTCCCACTTCCCTTCCTTTCCATCAGCATACACCACACACACACATACACACACACACACACACACACGCATGCACACGCACACATACCTACAAATGGCAAGGACAGACTATCTGTTTACTGACTCACCAGAAGAATCTAAAAGTGGGAAGTAAAAAAGTCAACATATATTGGTTAGTGAATGAGTCCATGATTCTGTGCTTAGACGAGTTGGCTTAAAGTCCCACATCCCTCTATGACTCTGGAGAAATAGTCATTCTCTTGAGCCCTAGGTTTCCTTGTTGGTAGAAGGGGCACATGTGAGTCCTTCCTCTGTGGGATCATGAGGAGGATGAAGTGCAGCGGTGCACGCCAGGTGCTTAGAACTATGACTGGACACAGTAAACTTTCAATAAGCATTGGTTGCCATGGTAATTAGTATTTCAAGATATGTTTCCCAAGGTGAGGACAAATTCGTGATGATTTGCACTCTCAGGCAACTAACTGGCTTTCCTCATCTGACAGCACTGATCTGAGATGGTGAAGAGGCCTAAGTAAGGCAGAAAGCTACCATGGGTCAAACCCTGGGGCTGTGGCCTCACCAGCTCCAATTCAACAATATTCAGGGCTTTGTGAAGGAGCTGTTAACAGTGTAAGTGCTACTGCCTCTGACTTGCAGAAGCAGAATAAACATAATATTGAAACCACTGAGTAAGTGATGGTGAGGTTCAGAAACCTTAAAAGGCAGGGAAAGTAGCTCCCCTCTTTCTACTTGAACTGGGATTTGTTTATTTGGCTTAACTGCAGTCAAAGCTAATGGTTCTAATGGCTTTGAATCACCCAACTCATTCTCCGAATTTCTATGTGCAGGCTGTAACTCACACTTTCTGAAAGAGGATAAAGAGAAAAAAAATGCCCTCCATAAAAGAATTTACCAGAACATACTAATCATTTAGACATTCGCTTACGTTTCTAGAAAGCTAAAGAGCAAGAATGCTCTGGTAGGATTTCCCCTGGAGCAAAACCCAAGTCTACCTAAAGGCAAAAGAAAGCAGGGCTGCAAATTAGACCATTAATCTGAATATCCATTGAGGATTTAGGAAAACAAAACACTTTGGAAGCACCCATTATTGATTTACACATAGCTTTGACCTAGGAGGAAAAGCTAGGATTTAGGGAGCAACTGAGTTAGGAGAGTAGGTGGGAATGAGAGAGGAAGAGAAAGAGAAAGGATGACAAAGGGGGGAGGAGTATTTGCTGATTTCTTGGCAGTAACAGTGTTCACTTCCCTATTAATTATAACAGGGCTCCACAAGGCTAATCTTCTCTAAGTGGTCCATTAAACCATGATGAGACCAAAACAAAATGAATGACTACACATTCAAGGAAGAGATAATGACAAATCAGGCCACTAAGGAATTTCTCTCTTCCCTTACAGAAGACCCCAGGAGTTGAAACAGGAATTAAATCCCAGATTCCATCCCAGAACTTTCACATGCACAAGACAAATGACTGGATAGTTCCAGAAGGAACCCAGTAGTCTCATTTCTGACAAGTTCCCAAGTGGTGCTGAATTGGCCTTTGAATCACAATTCAAAGTTGGAAGCTGCCACCCCACTGCACCTGCTAAGGTAAGCCTGAAGAATAGCATTTTTTGATGAAAAAATGTATTTTCCAGGGCAGAAGAAAGTAAGAGAATTGGTGAAATAATAGTGTTATTAAAAGTTCTAATAATTCAACAATGCTTCCAATATTCAGGGGGCATTGAGGAGGTGAATTCAACTATGATATATTGTAAGAGCTTCTGTAAATGTCAATGTACCTCCCAGTACAACAATAAAATAATTTAAAAAACCAACTATCCCAAATTACTAAAATATACTTAAATTACAGTTTTTGAGGCATACACAAACACTGATTTTTACAGTTGAAGCAATTTCACTGAAGTCTATTGATAGGTTCATTGATAATTTCCCCCTAGTGTTTGAAATATTGTCATGTCCAAATTGCACTAAATCTGGAAAATATCCTAATTCTCACTCTCTTTTGATGGTATGTACAGTGTCTAGGAGTTTGCTTTCACTGTTTTGAAATTTAATATTCTAAATAAAAAATATGTTACTGACACACCAAATTCCACCAGGCTTATCTGAATATGCAATAACAATATTTATTACACCTAATTACATATAACCCAATTGGGAAGGGACCATACAGAGGGGAAGGGGAAGAGAGACAGAAAAGGGAAAAGAAAAATTATAGTACCTCTGTTTCTCTATATTTTTCCTCATCTATCACAGAGGAATCTTGACTCATTTGAAAAAGAATTGATGAAAACTACAGTATGTTCCACCAGCCAAAACAGTTACCTCTCAAAGTTTCCTATTGGCCCTTTCAATCAGCTGAGTACAAGAGGTTTTCCTATAAAAAGTCCACAGTGTATCTAAATCTGATCCCAGTAAAATTTGACTTCAGCTGAAGTGAAAATGCAGAGGTAGCATTTACGGATAACAGCTGGAGAACATTAGTTCCCTGTCTCTCCTTTTCTCTCCCAAGGGCTGAGAATTCTGCTGTTCAGACAGGAAGTCGTCATATACCACACACTGTACAATACTAGAATGCTGGGATGTAAGAACAAGTTGTGGAGGATTAGAAGGACCTTGCAAGGGTTTTATTCAAGAACACAGAGCAGTGACTCCAGTACTTCTTGGCTGTCCCCTCCCTGAGACTGTGTGTGCATGGACACACAGAACTGACAGGCACACACTACAACTACTGAAAGCCTTTTAATGACTCAGAGTTAGAAGGCTTCATCTTTTGTTTTTCCACACATTTTAAAACATTAACTCAAAAACCTTTTGGAGGTGAGTGGCTAAGATTCCTCAATAACCTTTTTTGGCACACCTTCACATTTGCTTTTTAAAAAGACAATCTTTTAATTTTACAAAATAATAAAACTGTAAGAAAAAATTTCTCCCATACAACTGCCCAAGATCTAAGTAGATAGATAGATAGATAGATAGATAGATAGATAGATAGATATAAATATATATACCTATCTATCTATCTATATGTATCTGCCCAGGATAAGGATATAGATGTGTGTGTGTGTGTGTGTGTGTGTGTGTGTGTGTGTGTGTGTGTGAGTGAGATCGTGTTTTGAATTCCTTCTGGAAAAAGAATGATTTAAACAAAAGGTTCATGTGGGCATGGTTTTTAGGGTTGGCTTCTATAATTTCATAAAGCTGATGAGACATGAACCCAGATACAAACACGGGGAGAGACATCCACATTTTGTGGTCACAGCCCCAAGTTTTGAACGACATGATAAGAGTTTCCACAACACCACATGCGAAATAGCTGTTCTGCATTCCTACCAGTCTGCAAGCTCTGGCCCCTTCTTTGTAACCTACAGTCCTCTGGGGGCGGGCTGTAAAGCCAGTCCTGTCTCCTCCACTCCCCTCCAGCCAAGTCCACTAGATACATGCTTTAACTTTTGAACTGCAGAAAATGCCTTTGCCTTATGCATATCTGGGGCATGCTGTTAATCAACCCAGTTAAAACACTACGGTATTATGCAAAGAGGGGGAGGAGGGACGAGGGAGAAGCCAACCCACACATCCATCATCCTTTTAGGAGTAGGCGGAGTTTAAAGTTTCCCCAACTTCCAAGTTCTCACTTGACAGGCAATATTTCTGTGCAATTTCCAGCCCCGAGTAACAGATGGTCCTTTGCCGGTCTTGAGCCCCGAGAGAGCCCAGACAAAGCTCCCAACCACTCCACGCCTCGAGGGATTGATAGGTGGTTAGTTTCACAAAACTGTCAGACCAGGGCAGTACGCAAAGAATGGGAAGCCTAACTTCTCCTTGCCAGAAGTTTTTCCTGCTACAGGAAAGTCCTGAGGACCGAAGCACAAAGGCCTGGGAAAGTTTCGCTGCTTTATGTTTCAAGACATCTTTCGCCATATGCCAAACCATCATCCTTAAACTCCCAGGTGCCCAACGGAAGGAAAGTTGAGTCACACGTGTTCAGAAACAGGGCAGAAAGGCAACTTGAGCAGTCCCAAAGACAAGCTGGGAAACTGCTTAAAGACCCTCAGGGTGAAAAGCATCCTCCAGGCGCCAGACCCACTCACTGATCACTCAGAGCCAAAGGAGAAGGTGACGGCCCAGACATTGGTGCCAAATGAGAGTGTGCGCCAGGGGAGCACACAAGATCCTTCCTTCCCAGCGATACAGGGGTCTGGGTCGGTCGGCCCACTCACCCTCACTGCCGTACTGTTTGCCATTGTTCGCGCCCATCCTGTCGCCGTCATACCCGCCGTCTCCCAGGACACTGCATAGCTGGGGCGACCTCCTGCGCGTCCGGCCAGTGGAAAGCACGCCGGGCGGGACCTCTAGCTGAACATTCCCCTAGGCTCCGGGGCCGATCTCGGCCAGGGGCGGCCCCAGCTCTCTGGAGGGTGGGGGCTGTCGGTCCCCTCCTGGCACCCCGACTGTGGCGGGCGGGGCCCAGCGCCGCAGCCGCCGCCGCTCCTAGAATCCGCGCTCGGGGCCAGCGGGAGCAGCGCAGCCCACAGCCCGCGCCCCGGGGCCGCCCCGAGGCTCTCCGCCCCGCCGCCGCCGCGGGGTCCCCATCCGCCCGCCCCGAGCTCCCCGCGATGCGCGCCCAGCCGCGCGGGCCTCCGGGGTCCCCCGCCCGGCCGCCTCCTCCAGCCGCCCCTGCGCGCCCGCGGCTCCCCCGGGGAGGGCGCGGCGGCCACTTGTTGCGGGCGCCCGGAGTGAGCGGAGACTTGCGGCCCGGCTGCCCGCGGGCCGGACTTTTGTTAGCGCCAGGCGCCTCCTCCCGCCGCCCAGCGTCAATCACAGCTGGAGCCCCGGGGAGGAAGGCCGGCCCGGAGATGCGCGGCCTTTTAAAGGGGCAGCGCGCCTTTTCAGGGCTCCCGCTCTGGGGCAGGGGCTGGGCTCGAACTGTGCGCGTCGTCCACAGACCCTTTGGTGGAAAGCAACGTGTAACTGGTTTTCTTTTCCTATTCTTTTATGGGCTTGTTCTCCCCATTTGTAAGATGAGCTTCCACTCGTCGTTCAAAATCCCCTGGGGTGGTCTGCAACTGTAGTCTGTTTTGGATGCGTGGGCATTTATAATAAAGACGCATCAGTGTCTGAATTCTGACACATCTCGGGTACCTAAGTTGGCATCCTCCTGGGGCTCGCCAGGTCTGGGGACTGAAGCGAAGAATGGAGAAACAGGAGGGAAAACTTGAGACGAACTTAGCAGGGAGAGGTCCCAGGAGAGCCCGACTTTCCCCGCCCCGTGAAGGACGTTTCCAGGCTCAGAATTTTTAAGAGCTTCAGAGCCAGGAAGTTTATTTTCCCCTCGTTTCTGATTTTTTTTTTTAAACTTGAGGTTGGTGTTACCCTTTGTTTAATACCTTACGATCTCTTTGGAGGGTCACATGGCTTTGGAGAGCGTTAAAATGGTCCTTTAGTGTCTCCTCCCTCGAATAGTAAAAGGTAATTCTCAGTATTTTATTCCCTGTCCATGTAAACACCTAGAATGATTTAACACTGCGTCTTAGTTAATCATGCAAATTTCTTTGTGGGGAGGCAAGCCCAGAGCAGCTTCTCCTTATGGATGTGAGATATTGTAAATTAAATTAAAATATATTACATATAATATATACACACATATGATACTTGAATAGAGAATCAGGAGTTTTGAAATTACGTATTTCTTAAAAGGCTTTTAACCAAACACAGAGACTGTCAGTGATTTGACTTCGTATAAAATTTTTTATTTTGGAAATTTCCTTTAATTTGCTACAATTTTCTTTTTTAAAGATGAAAAAAATCATGTTTCAAAAGTTTTAAATCTAGGTTTATTATATATGTTTCATTATTGAAATAAAATAATAAATTCATCTATTTTCAAGGACCGTATTGAATAGTTTTGTGTTGTATTGAAAACACTTCTCTCCAGATATGAAAGACTATTTTAATGCCTCTTTTAACATCTAGAATCTAGCACAAATATACGACTGTAACCCAAAATTTCGGTCTTTTCACCAAGCTTCCGAACTTCAAGCTGGCACTTTGAATACCAATTTGCAAGCCTCCCGAGACAAGGCTAGTGTGGTTTTCACCTGCATCTCCCAGCTCTCTAGCACAGACCCTTGCATAAGGTAATCAGTCAACAAATGCTTACAGTACGTGCAGGATAAATAAATGAATGTTAAGCAGAGAGAAAAAATTATCTGAATGTTATTTCATTTTTTCTGTCTGCTCTTTTAGAGGGGCCAAAACCACTGAAAAGATCTTTTTTTAAGTAAGCAGTCTAAATTTCCTAAAAATAGAGTAAGAAGGTAGACATTGGGTGTCCCTTATCCAAAATACTTGGAACCATTGTCTCTGATTTGGGAATATATAAGATCTTAGAATATTTTCGAAGACATTACAGGCTGCCTACATGATACTCAAAAGAGTTTTGGTGTCATTATTGAAATAATAACATTTAAGATTTCGATTTGGGATTTTGGGAATTGGGAAGCTTCACTTGTACTACATCCTGTACATCCAGAAACTGTTTCATCTAAATTCCAACTATAGACTTCTGACGAAAGCTTGTCAATCATGGTAGAAGCAGTAAATTGGGCATGTAAAGGACTGTAATCTGGCTGATCCACTTAAACACGCACCTCCTCTGGCAGTAAGGTGACTCTCCACTCCCTGCTAGGGTGCTGTCAGAAGAGAACTAGTGGTCAAGGGTAGCAATGCCACACCCACAGCAGTGTCAGAGGAAACCATGTGGAAGCCAGAACTCTCATGGTGGACAGCAAAGCAAAGCAAAGAGGGGTTTCTTGCCTTGGGTCACAACAGAGGTCCAGTGGAAAGCCTTTGATTCAACTTCCTTCTAGCAGTTACTAGATGTTCTCTTCCTTTCCCTGCCAGAATAGTGTCAGAAAGAAACAGTTAAAATAGAAATTTTCATTAAGATCAAAAGTTTGAAAACATCTAAGTTTCAGTTTAAAAATCATTCAGCATACCAAGAAGCAGGAATATTTCAAATTGAATTTTTAAAATAACCAACACCAAGGTGACAGAGAGGTCAGAACTATCTGACAAAGGTTTTGTCAGCCATGAAAAAGTTCTTCAATGAGCACTGACAATAAATGAAAGACAAGAACACATAAGCAAGGAAACAGAAGATATGAAGAACCAAGTGGGAATTTTACAACTGAAAGTTAATAACTGAAATAAGGGTTGACCAGCAGAGTAAAGAGAGAAGAGAATCAGTGAACTGAAGGATAGAATGATATCTCAAAATTGTCCAATACGAAGAAAGAAAAATAGAAATAAAAAGAATAAAAACCATGAAAAGGGCTTGGGGATATTTGGGACAATATGAAAGACCTAACGCTTGTGTCATCAGAGTGCCCCAAGAAGAGGGCAGAGGGTGAGCTGAGAAGTTCCTGAGGAAGTTATGGTTAACTTACCAAATTCTGAAATGATAAAATAAGAAAAAGATGGAACAGATTTGTGGTTGCCGGTTGCCGGGGGAAGTGAATGTGGCCATGCACAGCAACACCAACGTCTCTGCTTTGGTGGAACTATTCTGTCTCTTGATTTTATCAATGTTTGTGTACTGGTTGTGATAGTATACAACAGCTTTGCAAGATGCTATCATTATGGGAAATGGGGTAGTGGATAAATGGGATCCTTCTACATTGTTTCTTACAAGTACATGTGTATGTAAAATTATTTGAAAATAAAAAATTTAGTTTGAAAATAGAAACCTTGTTCTCACCATTGGAACTCTCTACAAATACTCTCTTGACTACCATTTATTGCATCTCTATTTCCCTTTCACAGATATATATTCACTGGGGAGTAAGAACAGATTTCTTATTGCTAATAGGATTTATATCCGGGTCTATTCAGGATTGAGTGACTTAGGCAAACAGCCTAAAATGGTATAAAACCATGAATCTTGCTTACATCATCAGAATTAGCAAACTCTATTTTATGAAAGGAACTGGCCATTTGCTAAATAGCATCAATTTACCTTGCTTTGTGTAAATCTGATGCAATAAGAGAAAAACATCAAGGCAAAAAGATGTAAGCTTTTCTTAATATTCATATTTTCTTTTCATTGATAAACTTGGTGATTGTTTGGCTACTTTAATAAATATGTCAACACTCTGAGTAGTAGAAATATATTCTTTTCCAGGAGTATTTTTTAGAGCCTGGAATTAGGACCCCACTCTCTCTGGTAGTGGAACCATGAGGTGCAGGTAACCTTCTGTACTTGGTGCTGGTAATGGACAGGCTGTCACAGCTGCATTAATGGAAACACAATCCCAGGAGCCCATCAGTGCTGCTCCTGTGTTCATCTGGCCCCGGCTGCCATGTGTACAAAGGATCACATCATTAACCACAGGTCTCCATGGGAATTCTGTAGACAAAATTAACTCTCCCTTGAAACCCATTTTGAGAAACTTTCAAAGCTGGGATTCTTGATTTAAAAAAAATCATCATAATAAAGCTAGCTGTAAAAAAAAAAAAGAAAAAGAAAAACAAACCAAATAGTTGTGTGATTTGTGCTTCCAGTTTTAGTTTATGCATATTTATTTTGAACATTTTTCCCTCTTGAGTTCACTGGACTATCTTCACAAATCTGAATCACCTGCTTATCTTTAGACATTTTACATGTCAGAATATGACTAGACTTACGTATTCTGTATCTGCAATGATGGTAGTAAATAGCAATTCCTAGTTCAATAGTAGGCTTGCTTTAAATGAATATACTATCAAAAGGAAGTATTTTTTAAATTAGTATATATTTGTCATCAAAATACACTCTTGTGATTCTAGCTACCCAAAAGCAAAGATCAGGAGGATGATGGTTCAAGACAAGCCTGGGCAGAATGTTCCTGAGACATCCATCTCAATTAATAAAAACTGGGTATAGTGGTGCAGGCCTGTCATCCAAGTCACATAGGAAGTAGTAATAGATCATAGACCAGGTGTAAATCCAAGATACCTCAAGCAAAAAGGGCTGGGAGTATGGCTCCAGTGGTAGAGAATCAGCCTAGTAAGTATAAGCCCCTGAGTTCAAAACCCAGTACTGACAAAACATCAATAACAGAATCTACAGGGAACTCAAAAAACTTAAACCCAGAAGAATCAATTTCCCAATGAAAAAATTAGCACATGAATT